ATTAGCAGAGAAAAGCAATCCCTCTCTCCATCCAGAAAGCACTGAAATGGAAAATGTTCTGCTAGTCCTGGTATATAATACAGCCCCCCTTCCAGCATCTATTTTTCTCGTGTATTTAAAGAAAAGAGCACTTCAAAGCAGCATCTGTTAGTCATGATATGTATTTATCATATTCAGCACAAGAACATTCGCCTCATGGCTGGCTCATCTGAATGCTATTCCCACCTCAGGAAACCACAATATATTGATGTATCACACTAGTATTTCTGGGAACTACACAGCATGAGGTGGAAGATTCATCCATAAAATGAATGATTGGCTTTACTTACCCCTATTCTTACTTCCCCTTGTATTTCAGCTACTGTAATGCAGTTGAACATACCTCCCCGCTCTCCAAAAATGGGACATTAGTTTAAAATTTAATTAGTAAGTGTTGTTGCAGATGTACTGGAGAACTTCACAACATCTTCAGCTTCTTTCCAGGAAGGTGCAGATACCCCTGAAGTGCTGCATCAGTCCTGGCAGTCCTGTGCTGATATATCAGTTGGTCAAGAGGTCTACATGGCTTCTTTCTGGTACAAACTGGTAATTAACTGAGCAGAAATATGTGGAGGAATTAAATGAGAGACGTATATACAAGTTTAAACCCATTTAGATGGCTTTGAAGTCTAAAAGGTCCTTGAAAGTCATTTAGCCTAAGTGCCTGTGCCAACTTTAAGAATTCTACCTTCATTGTCTGCAAAATAGCTTTGAAGTTTCCAGCAGAGACAAATGACACTTTCATCATGAGGAAAATTGGGAGTGTATAGGAACTTTCATTGGCAACCTTACACATGATTATGTAGTCTTAAACAGCAACATACTGCTGTGTGATCAGTAAGTGTGAGTTTTCTGCCTGAAGCAGCTTCCAGCCACACCAGAACACAAAAAGAACAAGGCCAAAATAAACACTACACAGATGGGCAAAAATGAGGTGGTGAGCTAGTTCACAACAATTATTTGGAAAAACCTTCCTAGTGGTGTGTTGATGGACATATCTGAGGAAGAGAGAATTTTTGTTCGTGAGAAAGAAACTAAGTAGGGAAGAAAGTGGAAGTCTATTCAGAGCTGAAGAGATCTTTTAGTTGTTCAGAGATCTTTCAACACATTAATTGCTTAGCTGGGAGAAGAGGCAGGGACTCCGGTAGGATGGACGTGGCAGCCAGTCAGTCACAGATGGAAACTGCTTAGACAGGAGGATATATAAGATCTGCTCATGAGCAGAGTCAGAAAGAGAAAGGAATTAGCAATTATCAGAGAAGAAGAGGGATAGGTTCGTGAAGTGAAATATGCCTAAGCTTGGATAGTATCCAGTCAAACAGAGTGAGTGAGATAGCAGACTACAAATAATACAAAGCTGTAAACAATGAGGCAGGCTAAGAACTCTGGGGTGTGATGCATGGGGAGCTTAATCACAAGAAAATGCAAAAGGGAAAAATAGCAGGAAAATATCAAAACTTTTTCACAATAAAATGTATTACCCTTTGTGTTAAAAGAAATGGGTAGAAATAATATCGTGTAGCTGAGACAATTTCAAGTGAGAAGAGCACAAAGGAAACATTAATAAATGTACAAAAGAAAATAACTGTAATAGTGAGGGAGACATATAGGATTACCTGAGTAAACATTCACGCTATTTTATTCTAAGAATGTTCATAGAAAACTATTCCACACCTTATCCTTTTGTAAAATATATACAGCCAAAGACTCTAGTGAACAGTCCAAGACATTTTCTGTCTGGTTTTTAGAAATCCTCAATCCAGTGATGTAAAAGTACATCTCATAAAACCAACTTGAATGCTTTGTTTTCCTGAAAAGGTATGTCTTTTTAAACAATGGAGGTCATTAAGTTTTGAAACAATTTTCCACATTGTACATGGCCTAAAGTGTAACCGGTTTACCCCTTGCTCAACCAATACTTGGCTCTGTGTGCCACTGGCAGCAGAATGCAGAAAAGACATATAGTTCTTGGAGGCCAGCAACCTGAAAAGACACCCTGTTAGTGAAGTGATCAGTTCTCCAAGCAAGTCTCTTATTGAGTCATGCATCTGATGTTGCCTCTGTGGTTAGTGCTTGCAGTGAAAACATCCAAAGGATCCCTCCAAAGGCCAGACAGGGAGCTAAGCACTTGCATTGCATCAGGATTATTTCAGGAGGCACTTAAAATTCAAGCATGAGTTAACAATGTCCTTTGGACAGATGAGAAGTTATTCCAACTTACCAGTGATACAGGTTACTCTCCAGGCCATTCCCCTTTTGTAATCAAAACTTGAGAACATGCCATAGAAAAATATCATGGGATCATTAGAAATATAATACAAACTGTATTGCTTTTTTGTTTTGTTTTGTTTCCCCTTTCTTTAATGTATTTGTATTTAAAACAATATTTTTTTATTAGTTATTAACTGGTCTGAAAAACAGTCTGGGCAAGAGCAGTTGTAGAAGAAAGTCTACATTGCTGATGATCTCTGTATTTCTGTGGGTAGTTCAAAAAGCAGGTGCTATTTGAAGTACCCAGGGTGGACTCTTCTAAGCATGGAAAGTGAGAGGAATGAAAGCACTCAATGTGATTGGTGTTGTGCCATCTTGACCTCTGAGAAAATCTGTTTTGGTCTTACAAGTCCCAGTACAGGTGTTATAAAATACATCTTTAAAGACATTTTTAGTATATTCACTAAATCCGATTCAATACTGTGGAATGTCTTGATAAAGGAAGGTGATATTTGAGCTTCTTTTGTGCTTCTTATCTCAATTTCATGTTCTGTGTTACAGTGCAGCTTCTCAGACACGAGCATATTTCTTAGAGAAAGATAAGTACACACACTAACCTTAAGTTTGGGAAAAATAAAGCTGTTACTTTCAGAGCAGTGCTGAAGTCCACATAGTGCTGTACTGCTTGAAAAGGAGTCCTAATTTAAACAAAGACATCAGTGTGACCAACTTGTACAAACAAGGACCCATCGAAGTCATGCTGTCCACTCATCCAGGTGCTTAGGCAGGCAGGCAGAACCTTCAGCCAAGGTGTTGGGGCCCAGCTGAGACTCATGTGAATGTTTCCTGTGATATGGAGGCAGAGTTCAGCTTTCCTGAGGCTGATTTTGGCTGTGCTGGGCTCAAACTAGCATGTAGTGAGCAGCAGAGATACTGCCTCGGGTCCACTGCCTGTTTTGCTTCAGCTAATACCTCTGGACGATGAGCCCATTGTCTTGCCCTACAGCAGGAAGACTCACAGCAGGCAGACCCAGCGAGACAGAACCACCTGCTTCAACCTAATTCTCTAGCAGCAATAAGGGCTCTTTGTTCTTCACTCTCCTCTTCATCCTGCAGGTTGAAAAATCCAGGTGTTCCAAGGCTCATGGAATGCTGTGAGCCATCCCTGGAGAGAGGTGTAGCACTAAGATGGCTGTCCAGGACAGATTTGTCATGGCCTGTTGTAGGATATTGCTCTTCCTTGTGAGAGGTCTTCATCACACACATCTGCTGTTACTCCATTCCTCCTGCAGTGAGGACTTGGACCCTGTCTTTCCACGTTAGGATGTTGTTCTTGTGTATATCAGCAGGTGGGCAGCATTATCTGGAAATCCCATGCACAACTCTGCAAGCGCTGGAGATGACTTGGAGGCCTCCAGGCAAGTTCTAGCCAACCTAAACAAAAATGGTTCTTTAATCTGTATTTTTAAGTGTTTAATGTAGACGTGATTCAACAATGCACTTACCATTTTTTGAATTAAAAGTACACATAAAGCAGATTGCAAGAATCTGTAGATACGTTTCTACTGTGAGACAAACTATTATTGTTATAGTCAGCAGGTAGGTGTGCCTACCACAACATTTTAAAATAGTGATGACTAACCTTTTCCAATAAATCAGTTTTTCTAACCTTTCCATGGGTTTTGATTTTTTTAAGAGATACAGGCTTACGGTACTTATTTCTCCAATGATTACGAGGCTTACACTGCCTGGTCTCAAACATTAGTAATATAACCCTGTGTTTATAACTTGTCACCAAAACATCCATAAGATGGGAGTCTTGCAAGTAGGCTCCCATCACACAGCACTGATTTCTACTCCCCAAAACGGATATGAAGAACATTTGCTATTAAACCTGAAACCACATCCATTTTGTCTTAAAAAGAGACAAAAGAACAGCAAAAGAAAGGGAAATACTGGAAGGTATGAGCTGATGTGGGTCTCTGCAGTAAGCACAGCCTTCTGTGGAAAGCTACTTGTAAATGTTAGTGCTAATTTTGCACCTTCAGCAGGTGTTGCAAAAAAATAGGAGCCATGCCATTAGGCATCAGATGTAGTTTTGGGGCCCAGGATACAACGTGGGAAGCTTCTAAATTTAGAGCAGAAAGAAAACATCCTGCCGTTTGTAAACAGCCAAAATGGATTGCAATGACAAATTAACAAGCTACTATACACTCCAGTCTAAAGTAAGGAATAATGGAAGTTATTCATTATTCATTTTATTTACTAATAGTGATACAGTACGTATTAATAGGAAGGGGGCATAGTAATTCAACATACGTGTCAGTATGAAGATACATCTCAGGTTGAGATTATACTGCATAATCTGGCAGCAACATAAAATAATTTCTGGGTGACAGGATTCTTCCTTGGAGGCCTCCTTTAGATTCATTTACAATCTTGGCCATAAAGATGTCAAAGAATTGGGAATGGTTGCAATCTCTGGGCGAAAGAAGCTTAGGAACAGGAATGGCAAGGCACTATTACAAAGGACTGCAAACATTTTTGCAGAATTTTCTGGAAAAGAAGATACATAGCATCTGTCCACATTTAATTTATGCTAAGCATTGTTATTTGGTCCTACATTTAACAGATTTAATGAAACAAAATTTTAAAACAAAATGCCTTTTAACTTAGTAGGAAGAAGATCTGATAGGTGTGTCAAGTACTAAAAATGCAAATGCGAATGCAAACTACAGTGTCAATCTGAATTGCCATGCTAGGCCAAGCTTATTTTATTACATACATTCTGCATTCTAAGTACTAATATATTCATAATGTAAACATTAAGCATACAGAGTTAAAATTCAAGGCCACAATATTTTTGATTGTCCCTTTTTGTGTCTTTGGTTGGCCGAGATCAACTCGTAGTGTATAAATGCATAAGTTATATAATAATTATATAAAAAGGAAAAAATAACATTGACTTGTATACTTCATTCTGACAAACGCACAGCGTTCGCGACTCAATAAAGAAAAACTGGCGCCCGCCTAACAAAAATACTTAGATGATTTCTGATTTTGGCAGTCAGGGGTTGTCTCTTGCTTTAGCCAATGGAAAAGAAACCCCCCTAATAATGATGAGGTTCTAACTGGTTAACTTTTAAATATCAAATACAATTCCAGTTTTACTTTTTTTAAAAAAAAAGAGATGCATATTCTGATTTCTGACTTCTTCTGCTTTTCCCTTTTTCCATTTTTTTTAATTACTATACAAACAAGTCTGTTCCTCCTGTAATACTGGGAATGGTATGATACTGAGCAAAATGTTTCACAAGTCCAAACAAGTATTTCTTCATAGTCCCAACACTACTAATTTTTCAGTCTCTTCAGTCTCTACTGGTAAAGAAGTTTGTTTCCTCCCATTCTCACCACCTTTTGTCCTCCTCCGTCTCCTTTCTGCTTCCTCTGTCAGGTGCAGGCCTCTGATCTACAGTCATACACTTTCCCTTCTGCACATTCTCATTTCCAATGTTTGGCTCAGGGTTCTTGTAATACTGTCAAGGAATCCTAAAGTTTGGGTTGTCTTCACAGTTTGAGTAGCAGATAACGCTCTGATGAATGGAATGCATTTGATTTTAATCAAAACAATGCTGTCATATTCCAAATCAGCTTCCACACTAAATGAGTCTATGTTGATATGTTTCTATTTTTTAAATAAAGGTAGGTGGTTGTTGGTTTTTTTTTCTTTCCTTTTTAATCCTTTTCTCCCTCTTTTGTAATGATTCATATATTGTATGTTAGGTCACTATAGAGTTATTGTTACATTGCTGTAGTATAGTCCCAGGTTTTTGCATTAGCAAGATAACAAACTTTACCCATAAGCTTATCAACTTTTTAAGACCACTAGCTTTCATAGGTTTTCCTTATCATTTCATGCTTTTACCTACAACAGTCCATTGTTGTTTGGTCCACAGAGTCGATGCCCATATACATTACATTTTAGTATCTTAATACTTCTTGAATATCTCCTTTAAATCCCTACTGCAAAGAGTCATTTTGAAATTTACTTTTAATGTGTTTTTCTCCCAGCCAAACCTTCACCTGTCTCTTTAGGCACTTTTAATTCATGTACTCTGATAGAGTTCATTGCAATTCATCAGGGACTGTATCCCAATGAGCAGTGTTTTTGCTTTTTCTGGTGTTTCTTTCTTTCCCCACTTAGTAGTAGGTGCCAAGATGAGAAGGCATATGAGCAGCTGGCAGCCTTGTATTGGGGTAGATACCTCCGGTTGGTGAATTCCAGTATGGATTAGGGGCAGCAAAAAAGCTGGATGAGGTTACAGGCAAAGCAGGGGGGTGGGGAGCTACAAAGTTCATCTTCTGAGGGTGTGCGTGGTAGGAACTCATGTAGGGTAGGTCTGATGGGTATTTGTACATGGATGATTCCGGGGGGTGAGGCTGGAGGGCCTGAGCGATTCCGTGGAAATCAAATTTGTAGGCATAGCGTTTACCATGAACTTTAGTCATAATATTTTTATCATAGTAGTAGCGAAGTGCACGGCTGAGTTTGTCATAGTTCATGTTAGGTTTGCTTTTCCTCTCTCCCCAGCGCCGAGCCACTTCGTCAGGGTCGGTCATCTTGAACTCTCCGTTGGTGCCCTCCCAGGTGATGCAGTTGGAGTTGGAGCTGTCCGAGAGAAGCTCCAGTAGGAACTGCCATAGCTGTATCTGCCCACTCCCTGTGGAGGAAACAAAGTGAAAATGTCAGGAATAATGACTAATAAGTTAAGACACCAATTATTTCAGGCTCCCGCACATAACCCTATTAGGAAATATTGCAATGTCAGTTCCTGCTTCGTACTTGAACTAGTCCCCCTTCTCCCAGCCTATCTCATGAAATCCTAAAGAGCAGAGATAATGGTTATGTGTCATGTTTTCCCTCATCTGGGTGGCAGAATGCCATTACAGGGAAATTTAATGGTTACTTAATGTCATTCACTGTAGACAATTGATGGGGAAATCATACAGCACTTGTTTAGGAAACTAATCTCTAAAGTTCAGGACAAACAGCTTTCACTTGCATAATATTTTGCTTGTTCTCACAGCATTATGTTGTAACTAAATGTTCTCTGCTATGGAATAAGCCTACACAAAATGGAGAAGTTTAGAGAAAGCTGGACATATGCCAAACCATATCACCCATTTGCAGCATTTGGGTAAATGCAGAACGGAAACTTATTAGTGTGCTGTTGCACTACATACAATCATAGGGCAAGACATTTGCAAGAACAGTGAAAAGGTCCATAAAATACATTCTCATACTCATTCTTTGTCAAACAAGAATTTAAATGAGTACTGATCCTAATACATTAAATGTTTTTGTTTTTGTTTTTCTCCTTCCTCCGCCAATTTCGTGTCTGAAGGAAAATAATCAGTCTGCTGGCAATTTTGCAGAAGAGTGTTGCCTGGTTATAGGAACAAAGTTCAGCCATTTTAGGCCATCAAAAGTCAATTATGAAGGGCCTTGCCACTGATATTCATGCTAAAAGCTTAGTATTTCTTAATAAAGCAGCACTGAAATGATGCAAAACACAGCTGAAGCAGCTTGCAAGGCAATCTGTTTCACAAGCACAATGTCAGCAGAATTTGCAAACCAGCTTGCAAGTCGTAACTTCTAAGTACATCTCTAAAAAGGATTTTCTTTCTTTCTTTCTTTCTTTCTTTCTTTCTTTCTTTCTTTCTTTCTTTCTTTCTTTCTTTCTTTCTTTCTTTCTTTCTTTCTTTCTTCTTTCTCTCTTTCTCTCTTTCTCTCTCTCTCTTTCTCTCTTTCTCTCTCTCTCTCTCTCTCTCTCTTTCTCTCTCTCTCTCTTTCTCTCTTTCTCTCTTTCTTTCTCTCTTTCTTTCTCTCTTTTCATTTTTCCAAACCAGAAATGTGGATATAATAAACAAGCTTTTCTTTACAAAGCTTAGTGGTAAATTATAATATCAAGATAGATTAGCATCTGAAATCCATTAGCAGTTTATACTTCAGTGCAACTAAAATCCATATTCATTTAAATTATACTTATCCAAACTGTCCTTAATGAATTTCTTCTGTTCCATTAACATGCATTAAATAAACAAACAAACAAAAGAATCTGTGGTATGAGCAAGGCATGCAAGTTTTAATACATGAAACATAACAAGGGGATTAGCCTTTGAAAATCAATAAACAGTTCAGCACAGGACAACGCACAAATTTTTGAATAAGCAATCCAACATATGTTCTAACATAAACACTTGCCTTCCAAATGTAATATATAGTCCTATGAAAATAAATGGTTGCTGTCAATTTCCTTTTAATGAGAGATTAATTCCACCAATTTATAAACACTTAAAACATGTTAAAACACAGGAATGATGGTGTGTAGAAATGCCATACCCAAATGCTAAAAATGTATCCCAATCCAGAGCAATTTAGTGTCTTCCAGAGTAATGAAGGATACCAAATGCACACTTGGTAAAACTATAAAAGCCTGAGACATACAAATTAAAGGGAGGTAAGCCCTCACAACCACTTAAGGTCAGTGTCACTTGGAAATCCACCTCCTGAGGCCATTTGGAAAAAGTCATTCTTAATATTTAGCTGCTTTCCTGTGCAATGCTAAACTGTCTAGAAAGTAATCTAATCTAGAACCATGGCTGCTGTCACTTGGGACAAAATGAAAGGAAATGTAGCAGTATTTCAGTAAATTCATGCTTGGAAAGGCAATAAAATTGTTGTGAGATCAAACATTGTTGCTCAGAGTTGAAGAGAACTATAACGTGGAACAAGTAACACTGTGCCCTTTGAGTATTAAAGAAAGGGAAAAAGGAAGTGGCACTAACGTCAATTTATTGCGGCAGATAACACTGATGTATGACCAGAGTTCATCCTGCAGATTCAGAGAAACAACAGTGAAATCTGTCCAGTTCATAATCAGTTTTATTAACTTGTCAGGAAGTTTATCCATCTTCAGCTAAAATACAAGGACTACAAGGACCAGCTCACAATGCACATAGTTACCACCTTCTTATCATGAGAGACCATTTCTGAAGTGTCTAACCCAATTATTCTTTGCAAATAAATTCTGTTTTCCAATTTTTCCCTGTATATTTTTGCTGACTTCTGTTATGCAGCCAAAATATTGTACAGGTCAAGGTCAGCATGTCATTGGACTGTGGATTACAGAATCTAGGACATGCATGACACAGCCTGGTAAAAAACTCATGCCATTCTGGAGAGGTTCCTGAAGGACAGCACCTAAGAAAACTCCCAGTGTTCAAGCAACTGAAGTGAATTCCTATTGATATGTTTGGTAAAATGTAATGAGATATCTGACTGACTGAATATAAACATATATTCTAGGATGAGATGAGTAGCTCTCTACTGAGAGCTACAATAACTATATCCCAATGAATATAATGGCAACTAGGACACCTAAGTCCTATCTAGTTACTCTATGACACTGGAATTTATGTGCTTTAATGTGTGAGCTTAGTCCCACCCTTAAGTAATTTAGAAACCTTCAATGTGTTACGTATCATAAGCTCTCACTGAATCATACTAAAGATTAGTAAAATTTGTCACATCAACTTCAGAGTCCAGACTTAAAATAGGAGTGGGGATGCTATTAGAGAAGAAAAACTCTCATAAATCAGCAAAACCTCGCCTCACCTGGATTTGCAAGACGGCTGCTGGTCGGTCCTAGAATCTGATAAGGATCTGCAAAATTGTAAAGAAAGATTTAAAACCATGTAACAACGTCATATATTTTAGGCGTCATTTTTTAATCTTGTAGGAGTCAGAAAGTGCCACCTGAAAAGCAGATCGAACACTGAGTAAAGTGGCTTCTATCTCTGCATCACAATATTTGTAGGTTTTCTCTCAAAATTGGGTGCGCAAGCAAACAGTTGCAAGGGATATATATTTCCTTTTCATTCTCTGTATTAGTGTGCACAAGTACATGTTCAGACACACTGTAAAGTTGGTCTAGAAGTATTCTGATTCCTATTTAAACAAGATAACCTCTGGGACTATATACCCTTGTAACCTGCTAGGGCCCATAGTCCAGAGACCTAGTGCTAAATGTGGCATAGATGGGTGAAGAGATGTTCCTCCTCAAAGAATAGAGACCTCTTATCTTGTGGGGCTACATCTGTTCTCTTCGTACCATTCCTAGGTTTTTCTGTGCCAAAACAGCCTCCAAAAGAGAGTGAAGAGGGCATATCTGAACCCATGCAAAGTGGCCGTGTTGGCTCTTCTTCATCATCACATTCCAGTGAGGGATCTCCTGTATTACACTTGTGATTAGGGTTTTCCAAATTCCAAAACATCTCAGAGCTTTCCTCATTGGATTCCCTGTGGAAATTCAATCTGAATTCAACCTGAACTGAAATAAGAATGACTGTAGGAAAGCCCAAGCTATGGATGATAAGCACAACCTGAAGCAGAGCAATAATGTCAGTGGGCTGTCTTGTCTCCAGACAATTGCTCTCAATCACTCAGTTACAGTCAAGAAGATAATCAGCTTACATTCCTTACACATTTAAATAATCTGTGAGGCTCACATATTTGCATTAAATGATCTCAAGGACTTACATAAATCACCAATATACTTCTTGAAGGATTCCCATGTCTGGGAGGCCAGATTAGATAAAATGCTATCTGGGCAAAAAGAAGTACAGTACTTCCCAGGCAGCATGCATGTAAGTTAAGGAGTTGTAGTCATTCACAGAGTTTTATTTAGTTGTAACAAAAAAACAGAATCATGATTTGAAATCCATGTGATAAAAACAGGCACAGAGAATTCTGGGCTAAGAATATCCCCCAAAACTTCTCTGTCATACTTCTACATTTTTGCTGTTAGCAAAAGACATCATTGACTCAGAGTGTAGTGCTTTCTAACTATCTGTCCAAGACACTTTCTAGTTTCACAATATAGGATTGAGTCCTACCCCATAAATTAGCTGGTTTGAAATGACAAAGTGAACCATCTTGCTAAACGACTAGCCTACATTCCTACAAACCTCAACTTTCTCTTCAGTTTTCCAATAGATTGATAATCCTTCTATTTTTTCTGTTTAATTTCAGGACTTCAGGATGTAAAATACAAATAGATTTCTGTATGTTGCAGTCCATTTTCATCTCTTTGTTTATGCACACTTTTCAGTTGTCATTATTTGAACTACTGTGGAGAATAAGTCTTCTGGCTTTCTTACCTTCTACCTTTGTACTTAAACTGAATATAGGGAATTTAACAGCTTTTTCATTCTGAAAGGTTGTCATTACCATTAAACATTGCTAAAAGCACATTTTAATAGGCCTGGGAGCCTCCACTTAAGATACAGCCATGCAGCCAGATCACACATGTCTGGGGATTTACTCATCACTGTCTGGAAATCTCATTAGTGCTCTGAATCAGCTCTTGCAAATGGCTTCTGGTTGGTAGGTGAAAGCTGACCTGAATGTGTCCAACAAACCCCATCAGAAAATTCAAATAAAATAACACCCACCTAACTGAGGACGCTGGTCTTCTGTTTTGGGCACTGTTGAGGATGATGGCTGAGTAGCTGAAAATGGAGAAATCCATTTAGTTATTTTTCCAGTTTGAAAGATAGTCACTAAACCTGTGATAGACCCCAGGCCATGGACTCCTGCTGCTCACGAGAGTAGGATTTAGCTTTTTAAGACTATCTGATCATGGGCCTGATGTAGCCTACAATCCTACAAGGAAATTACGGCTGCCCCAGTAACTTCACCAGCATTGCCTACACGTAACTACTACTGGCAACAGGTTTGCCAGGCACAAGTAGAAGTCCCTCAGAGCTGAAAGCTGAAGTAGATCCTGAGATAGCTCTGAAGTTCACTTTAGAGATTACTCTGATTGCAGCAGACGTGTATTGGGCCCACAGGTGGGACACATGAAAATGATTTTTACCTTTTGACTGAGTGGGATGGGTGTGACTCGTCCATGCTGATCTCCTCGCTTGCTCATAAGGTAAGTCTGAAAAGGAAAAATACCATTCTTCATGCAGATATGGCATAAAATGTTATCTGTCCATTAGGGGCAAATTTCTAGATAACTCTCTGGATTACAAAAATTACGGAAATTGGAAGGATACTCCTTGTTAAACACTTCATTGTCTTTATCATTTCTAATTATAACAGTACCACACTGCTCTCTGTACAGCTCTTTGGAAGTGCCTGTTTTTTTCAGATGTCTGAAATACTTTTAAACATCTGGCATAAATACTCTGTAGAGTCCATAGCACCTTCATGGTTACTTTCTGTTATAGGTATGCTCAACTTCCACATACAACATGAGTATTGCTCAGGATTGTGATTCATAGTAGACTTCAGTGTGACTGTTCTCTGAACTGGACAACTCATTGATAATAGAATACCAAGTGGGTGCTCACAGCCATGAGCATGAACAAAGGGAGTACAGTGCTAGAACAGGTGATCTTGAAATCTCTCATGGAGAAATAACAATTTACATCAAGAGATTGAAAGCAATGTGGTAAGATTCCAAGTCTGACTGCAAGCAAACCATTTTGTCTTATAAATATAGCAGTCAAAGAAACCATAATCTGAGCTTTCCTTACTGAAACAGCAGGCTGTATGGCAGTGATCCCTTGAGCTGGGTGCCTCTCAAGATTGCTCCTTGAGGTCAAGAGATCCTTACTCACTTTGCTGGTTGGTCTCTAAAGGTATCTGATTTTTGTTAAGATTTAACAACTTAACTAATCACTGTGACTCATCATCATTATAAATTATCAATCTACTTACTATAATGAACTAAATTGTTGCTATATCACTAAATGTATATGAGTGTTGGGTATTGCCTGTGACACCTTCCTCAGCCAAGGACACCAAGGTATGACATACACAGTGTACTATGGACAATTTTTGTTTGAGCTTTGTGGGAAAAGTCTCCCAAAAGGTCAGAACTCAGACCAAGAGTAAACTGTGTAACATTCCCTTCCAGTCTGTGTATGTAACAGTATTTTCTTTTAAGATAGACTTCAGTTGATTTACTTTGCCTTTCTTTACTAGTCTGTTGCTGTTATCCCTTGAGATTAATCAAAGTTTATAGGTTGAATTTGAGAGTTCCTTTTTCTGCAGGCACATGTGAGACAGCAAAGGCATAGTTTTGTCTAAATCACTGTGACATGCTCTTTGTGTTCTTACTAGCTGTCACTATTGTAATGCACTTTATTATCTTTTTCCTTAATGCTATTCTTCATGCTTGCAAGCCCTCTTTTCCCCAGGTGCATTGTCTGGTCTAATTCTCATTATTCAGAATCGAGATCTGTGGGGTAACTGATTGCTGCACTATACCATTTTCACTTCTTTCTCTTTTACTCGTTATTTCAAACTTGAAATAATTTCTTTCCTTTCACCTTCCCCTCCCCATCCCGGTAGCCTCGTAGATCTCTAGAAACATAGAATGTGAAAATACTGAACACGCTTCAATATGAAGTACAGATGTGTATACATATTCTTATATCTCTTATGAAAAGGTGATAGGTTTTGCGTTGTGCTTTTTTTTTTTGCTCCATCAATTTAAATATACCTTTCTGTTTCTTGGGAGAAGCTGCTAATTTTATGTATCTAAATTCTCACTTTTCCCTTTTCTTTTTTTCTTCTTTTCCCTTTTTTTTTTTTTTTTTTTTTTTAAACTTACCTATTACTTCTATTTTAGTTAAAAGGTTTAGTATATAAAAATGAAGAACCTTGAACATAAAAGCTTTTTTCATAAACTATATGAAGTAAAGTCAGACATTCATTTTACCCTTTGAAATCTTTTGCAGCTGCCTGTGCTTTTCTACGTCTGGCTTAAACATACCACCTAAAATTGCTGCCAAGACCATGGAACCTATGTAGCCTGTCCAGGATCCCAGCAAGGTAGCCATACCCTCCTCATAGAACTAAATTGGTGTAGACGATCTGATTGTTAACAGTGCTTGTGCTTTATTTTAGAAATGACTGTAAATTAAGCCAGTTGGGAAGTAAAGAAACAGTCCCAGACTGGCTCTGTGCACACCAGATTGTTGAGCTCTCTGCCCGTTTTCAAGCACTCTAAGCAGGAGAATTGAATGGAAATAAAATGTAATGTGAAATTCACAACCAAACTGCTCTTAATTTATTTAGTCTGTTTGGCTTAAGAAGCAGACTGGCACTACCAGCCTCATCGTCTCCTGGAAGCTTACAATTCAAAAACTTCACTATTGTTGACATACTCCCTTTATCTTTGTACTGCATTTAAATAACTAGTATCTTTTTATCTTGTATTTCTTGAGGACTATTCCAGAGTCTTTTTCAGAAACTCAGAGAAAATTGACTCACACAGGCACTCATTTCTGAGCAGAAAACTGGTGTGAAGGTGAATCTTAACATGCAGATGTCCTGGCCAGGATCAGATCAAGACTTGCTATTAATGTGGCTGGAGATACCTCAGGGACTGAAGACTTTCAGAAATTTGGAAGGATCTGTGTCAACTTTCCAGAGCTTTCCAAGCTCAAACTGTACAGAAAGGGATGGCTCAGCCATGGTGCTGATTGAAGAACAGTTTTCTGTCAGCCCTGAGTTTCAACAAATATCTTGCCCACTCCTGTCTTTCCTTGCCAAATTTCTGTTTCCAAAGCAGCCAGTGGAGATACAAGCAAAATTACCAAAAAACTTTTCTGTTTCTTCCATTTCCTGGCCCCAAAGGTTACAGATATGGAAAAAAAAGATCACACAGAAGGTATGTGCTCCCACAATCTCTCCTCTCCTCTCCTCTCCTCTCCTCTCCTCTCCTCCCCTCCCCTCCTTTCTAGGTCTCCAAATAATTAAAAATCTGTACACTGAGAAGGCTGTGTGATGCTGCCTACTTGTACTCAGTGGCAAGTACAGCCCTGAAATAAATTTGGCATAAATTTAGTACTGTGAGAAAATTTTGCCTTTTAATGCAACACATCATAAGACGTTGTTCTGTCTACATCCTCTCAATTAAAAGAAAAATCCAGTTATCAGCCTTGCTTGAAATAGCACAACATTCCAACTTCATTCTTCATTCGTTATTGTGCCTTGATAAACATGTTGCTATCCTAGATAAGCAGATCTGCTCATATTCATTGGATGTTAGTACAACATGTTCTAATCTTGGACAGATCTTTGATGGGAATTATTCTGTTTGATGACACGTAGACAAACCTATATTAGGTCTTTCTGAGCTCCTGATAGCTTCACTGTATTACTTCTAGCTTGCTGAAACATCATGTTCTGTTGTAAAGGTGACTGAAGAAATATGTCTTTGTCATTGCAATTTATTATGAGCCTTGCTCATTTCCTATTTGCTATTGTGGTGCTTTAACAATGGTAATACTTGATTACCTTCTCTAAAATTGCATCTCAGAATTTGGCTAATTGCCATTTAATCTTGATTAAATGAGGAGGAGATTAATCTTTAATCTCCTCCAGCCATTACTCTCATTTTTGACCTTTTTCATGTCTTCAGGTACTTGTCCCCAGACTCTCTCTCTATTGCTCTTCTATGAAAGGAATTTTTTTATGGAAAAGCTTATTTTGCCATCTAGTTGAAACATGATGTTTAATAGGAAAGGCCAAGGAACAATTTAGCAAAATAGTTTCTTGACAGAAAACTGAATTCCTGCAAAAATATTTCTGAATGAATGAATGAAAATTCTGACCTTAAAGACATTTGCCAAAACTCTATTATAAAAGATAATATAATACTTTCAAAATTGTATGATGATTTATTGCAGAAAATGTTTAGTTAGGATATCCCAGTTCACAAAGAATAATAAAGACACTCTCTACCCAAACTACAAATTCCACTATAAATTGTGTCAATACAGAAAGATGCTTTTATCATAAAGCATTTTATTTTGTAGATGTCAGGATTTTTTACTTGGTTAAAGATGCTGAAATGAAGGAGTTCAGCATATCTGACATGGGATTTTTTTACAACACTTTTTACTTCGAAGAAAACTGCTATTTTATTTTCCATTACAAGTCAGGATGAAACAAGTATGGAAAATATAATTTTTCACGTATAGAAAAAACAATTTTTGTCAAATATCCCTGGAATCATACCTATAACGCAGTATTCTTTCACAACAGACTCTCACCTGTTATGTTATTTGCTAATGGACACCAAGGTCCACCTGGTCATACGTTACTTACTCATTCTCATTGGAAACTACTGAGAACTTTGGACATCCAGAACTATATTGCATAGCTACAGTGAAGTTTCTGTCTGTGCTCTGTCTTCTCATCTATATTCCAGATTCCTCTGAGCAATTCAAAGTTTCTAGGTGCCATAATAACTTGTGACCATATTTATTGAAAATATCTGTAACATTTCTAAAATTCTTTTTTCTAATACTGAGAAGCAAGTAAAGCAGGCAATCTGTGATATATAAATATATCATTTTTCCTCATCCTCAGATCCTGAGTTGAACAAACTTTTATATCTTTCAGCAGGCTCAAAAGATTTTCCATATTCCCATGTCTTACTCTAAGCACCATCTAATGCTGCAAATAGCCTTTTTGATAAGGGATGATTAATGTAGCTTTCCATACAAGGCCATAGTTCTGTTTTATTTAAGGGCACAATCAGATTTCCCATATGACCCTCCACTATACTCTTTCACATGTTTACTCTTTTCACTTCAGACAGCAACTAGAGCACTGGCTTTCACTGTGCCATAAATGAAGTTGCCTATGGTTAGCTCTTTTGTGATTGAATAGGGTTAATTTGAGATCAGTAAGATACACAAATAATTTGCGCATTACGCTGCATTTATCTTGTATTTTCAGCTGCTAGCATATTCTGAAATCATTTATCTCAAATAACACCTCTGGGCTTCTTTACAAGGATCCTGCAGAAGAATCTTTAAGTTTGAGTAATGTCAAAATCTTATGCTATCTCCAAGCACATTTGATTGCATCCTTTTCCCCATTATTAGTAGCTATCATAGCAGAGAATGCTAAAGCACCCAAAATTTAAGCTCTTTTTAAGTCTTGCTGTCAGGTTAATTGGCCAGTTCTTGATCTGTGAAAAGATTTTATTTCTTACGATTTGCTAACTTAACCCTTATTGTAAATAGTTGTGGGACATTTTGGTAAATTCCTTATAAAAGTCTGTTGCCAAATATATGAATTAGATTGGTGGTCTCTTTTTCATTCGCTAGGGCATTTTTATTGATGAATAAATTTAGTAGAAGAGTTTATTTTCCTACAAATTAAGCAGGGTGGATTTATTCATTTGACAGTATAGTAGGTGTTTCCCTCTTTTTAATTCATCAATTAACAAATCTACGGTCATGCATATACACATGTATATAAATGTAAAACCAAGTTACTTGTGTATTTTTCCTGAATTATACCATGCAGCACTGACAAGACATAGATAAAATATTTGGTATTGAAAAGTTTCTAATGAGAGAAAGTATCTTTTCAAAAGAGCTCAGTCAGTTCTAGTGTATGTCCCTTCAGAACACTTGGATGTATGCCTCTGGCTCAGTAATGGGTTTCCTTTAAATTCAGTATTTTGTTCCAACTCCTTTCAGTGTTTTACAGTACTTTGTACTTATTACTGGAAAAACAAATGTCCAGGTCAGGGAGTTTTCCAACATCATTAGTTGTGAAGGGTGATGCAAAGAAAGTTTTTAACTTCACTGCAATGTCCTCATCTTTTTAATTATTCCCTCTAGCCTTTCACAAACCAGCACACCCACAATATTTCAATGGACCTCACACTTCTCAGCACTGAGAACATTTTCGTGGTTTGTTTTGATTTATTTAAGCTCCCAAATTCATGATCAGACATATCAAACATAAATAAAAAGTAGATAGCAGAAGATGTATGTATCCAGTATTTTTGATATACTTTTTCTGAATAGATTTCTATTCAGAAGTTATTAAGGAGGATATTGTTGCTTCCTTTTACAGGCAGGAAGGTGAAGCACACTGAAAAGTGACTGCATTGGTATCACGCAGCATTGGGATCACACAGCAGAGCACAACTCCAATCATACTATTCTCTTTTGCTTTGAATACTAGAAAGCATTGCTTCAAAGACAGAGGAAAGACGAAGACACAGACCTAGTAAACGTTTTCTATTTAATTATCTTACTTTACACAATGTTATATATGTAGTCAAATATATATAATTGTGTACATGTGTATGTATTCATAATTTAGCTTATCATTTATAAGAGAAAACAGAAAGAGTAAAAGAAAGACATGGTTCAAGAGATTAAATGAGTAGTATAAAAAGTTGTCATTGTTCATACCTGGCCTCGTTGTTATTCTTTGTGTTGCTTCTGGGTAAACTGATGTATTTGGAAAAATAAAAGTGGCACCTCCTAAGGAGAAAGAAGACATAACATCTGAAGATTCATTTTCACGGTCTCTGATTCCACTAATATTAATAATTCCCTCTTCTAGTGTATCTGAATAAAGACTACGAATAAATATTTTATACATTAGGAATGTTATATGACTTCTGATAGTTTTTGCACTTGTGTAAATCCACTCAAATTACCGGATAAATTCTGTGAAAATCAATGTTAAGGGGGGAAGAGAATTAAGTTCAGTAAATCCCTTCTGCCCTCCCTACACATCTTGACCATGTGTGCAGGCTGTTCCTTATCTTCTGAAATAAAACTTCTTTTCCTCCTCTTTATTCATATATGACTTCCCGAACAAGTTCATACAACGGAGACTGCAGCCCTGGGCCAAATCCTATTCAGTGGCAATCTTCTCACAGACCTTGGTGGTCTTTGGGCTAGACTCTCAGAAACCCCATTAAAAATATTGAACTTGATAATATAAAATGGTACCAAACTTATCTCGGGAACTGAAATTGCCTGAACTACATCAACACACCTCTAATGCCCATTACTAGGAATGTGAAAAGGGCCACAAGGAAGTTACCAATGACATTGAGAGGAGTTTGTTCCTAACACCTTTGGGGTCTTTTGAAAATCCCACTCCAAAGCTCTTATGCCAATAGAACAATATACTTTTCTTAAGGTCATGATCAGCATGATATTGTAATTCATACTACCAAGGGCATAAATGCAGGCAATCTCATTTTGGTGAATTTCAGAATAGCATTGTCAGTGCACACATGTAGAAAAAGATAACACATGGAATTGCTGAACAACGTTTGGATAATTCTATGTGGAAACTTCTTGGCAAATTAGAATCTGGGAAACCAAAGATGGAAAAGACTATGGAGACTATCTATTTTTAAAAAGGGCTTAAGGCTTATTCCAAACCTCATCAAAGTCAATGGAAATTTTTCTCTTGCATTTGGTGGGGTTTGCTGGAGGCCCATAGCCCATAGTAGGACTTTATGTCAAATGGCAAACATCTAATCTCAGTGGGAGATCATCTGATCTAGTTAATTTTTCTAGGAAACTTGCTGCTTTTTACTACAGTGAAAAAATAAATGAAATATGAAAATAAGGTTTTCTTATTTCTTTTTTTTTTTGCATTATCCTTTGTATTATCTTTTTCATTTCTCATAAATAATTGTTATTTCTGGTCACTGTAGGTAACTAATACCCTCAGGCATGATCATGCAGTATTCCAAATAACTCTATCAATACGTATACTGCACTATATGTGCAGTTCCATGCCATCCTCTGTTACAGAACTGCTACAGCAAGATAAAATTTAGTTTGAAATATTTTCAAAAATATTGTAAGCCACATTTTGATAGATACATTTTTGAGGCCTGTGTTGTGTTGTTCTTCCACCTGTGCTTCATACTTGTTTGGGACGACTTACGTAGCAGAAGGGTGAATATTAACAAAAATCATTTTACATTCAGATCAGACTTAGATCCCAACACAAACCTCACATGAGAACTGATAAATGAGATGGGCTAACTGCCTAAATAGCAAGAATTTTACTTAAGTATGCAATATATACTGCATATGAGGGGGAAGCAGCCACAGCACATAGACAAACACTGAAGAACTTTTCAGCCCCAACAGTCTTTTTGGGATCCATGGAGTAGTTCTGACAGTAAAATGAGACAGAGTGAGAAAAAAAGTTTTCAGAGCTTGCAGGTTATCAGTGTCATGGGCCCCAAAAGCTTATAGGACATGAGAAATTATCAATGGGGAAACCATTCTGCACCATCTGGCCCTACATGATGCCACCATTTTTCTGTGTGTCTGTGCATAAAACTCATGCACACAACAAGGAGAGGACATGCTCATCTCTCTCCTGGTTTACTATTTCCACTTTGAGCAAGCAAACCATAAACAGGAATCCTGTGCTTTCAGAATATGACCTATCGCAATGGGAGCAGTGCCAGCATTACCTGTGTTTCTAGCATGCATTAACCGTGGAGAGTTTTGTAAGGCCTTATCAACATCATCTGAAGTCAAATGTGGAAGAGGAGCTACAAAACAAAACAAAAAGCAACACCAAAATGAAAAAAAAAATTGAGAATTATCTTTTAAAACCATATTTTCCCAAAGAGGATTGTTTGAAAGTGAATCTACCAACAGTCAGTTTCTGTCTGCAGTTTACAGGGAGGTGTGTGTGCTATAGCTTAGACTGATAGCTTAAACTAGGGCATTAATTTATTCAACATTATGAATACAGAATATTTCTGGCTGATTATTGACAATGTGCGTGTGGAGAAGACTGCACCGCACTGGTGTTGCAATGCTTTTTTGTTTGTTTGTTTGTTTGCTTTAAAACCAAGTTCACTTTAAAATCTTTAAACTGAGGCAAACATGCAAAATTTCCTCAAGCTTAGATGAAAGTACACAAATCAGGAATTCACTAGTCCCCTCTTTCCCTTTGAAATGTTAGCCTTACACTACAAACGCTTTGCATTTGGACCTCAGGGACTGGGGTTTTTTTGTTTTTTGTTGTTTTTTTTTTTTTTACTGGTTTTTCTTTTTTTTTTTCCTTCTTTAAATTTTTCTTCCCACAAATTTACAGAACATTTATTCAGTTCATTAAACTCTTGCTTAACCTTTTCAGGGTAGAGCAAACTGCTGTCAGTCCTTAGAATCATGCCTGGAATTTGCTTTATAAATCAATATAAATCAATTGCTAGCATTATCATTGTTAAAATGGAAATAAATGAGTATGTGACCAGAAAAAACATTAGCACTGAATCCCATTTGATTTTTTTCCTAAGTGTACTGATAAATATGCTGGAGTTTAATTCCAATTTTGTCTCAGATAAAAATTTAGAAACATTGCCCAACTCTTTTTCTCCCACAAGCATGAATGAAAGCCAACTGAAATCAATGGGAATCTTTCCTTCAAAGTCAAGAGGCTTTGGATTGGAGCTTCCTGCTATATTTTAAAGACCAACATTAGGAACAGAGACATCTGAAAACCTACTGGGTTAAGATCTAACAGTGGTATCAAACACAGATTGATGATAGGCACTACCATAACGACAGAAAACAAACTTACTCTCTCTGAGGTAGTGTAGGTGTGACAGGAGGATATCTGCATTATAGCTCGGTGTGAGCCTCTGGAAGTCATCTTTGGTCATTTTACACAACTCTTTCCCATCAATGTTCTGGAACAACAAGATGTCCACGTCTGGAAGACCATACTCCTTCACTGCCCACTCCAGCCACTGACGTACATGGTCTGTGCTCCACAACGTCGGATCTAGTGTTATCACAAAGAATGCAATTAGCTTGGAAGGGGAGAGTGGTGATTTAGTGGATCAATGCAGAAAGACTGTAGTCCAAACTGAAGAGACAGGGGATTAGCAATACTACAACCTGTGTCCAAACAATTTTCTAATATTTCAGTTCAATTTGTATCTTTATTCAAGAGAAATTTTCACTCAAATCAATTTTACTGTTTCTTGGGCATAGGCTAAGCAAGCACTCAGATTTGGCTCATATTAAAATATTCCACACTTCCTTTCATAGATTGCTGTGTTGTTTTGCTATATGTTGCTACATTTAAGTGGGTTTTTCCTTACTACTTGATGTACTGGCAATACCATCTGGGGAAAGAAAACAAGAATTAGTGCAGATGTCTTTTTGAAAGTCATGTATGAATCCCTGATTTTAACCTGAAGCTGTGTTTTTGTCCTTAAAGCTCTCCTTTTCTATCTCTTCCATTCTACTTTTTGCTACCCCTGTGACTGAGAGTAAGCCCACACCAACTTGAAGGTCCCTAAAGATCTGCAATACGCATCTGCATAATGTAAGACAGCTCCTGGCATGAAGATTTTCTACCTTTTGCTGAGGAAAGGTAAGAGCTGAGGAGAGATGGAGTCATCAAGAGTTTCTGCCTTTCAGCCTACATGATTCTGTGGTTCTGTGATATCCTGAAAACTGACAATGGAGCACACAGAGGTCAAATGACAGTAGTCCATTGCATAAAAGTCTGTGAACTGTCTGAGTCTTGAAAGATAGCATAAATAGCTTATTAGTGGCATAAATTTAGTGCCATACTATGTCTTTTGGGATACACGTCTTTCCATGGGCTAGATACTATTCAGAGACTGTCATGACACTGCTCATTCCCAATCCTTCACCCATCAGTGCCTCTGCTTTTCTGATGTTTCTCTTGGAATTTTAAGTCCTTAAAAGTCAGAGTACTTGTTTCTCTGGAGGTTCAGAGGCTTTCTCCACTCTCCCAAATGCACCAGAATTGATTTAAGAGGACCCCTCCATCTGGTATGAAAAGAGTAGCAAACTAGAAGGAAGTAAGTCTGACTATTTAGGGTCTGGTTGAGATCACTGATACCTATAGCAGGGAACTCCAGCAAAATTCACATTGGGTTGAAGCAAACCAAACACTGGGAAACTTACCAAAAGATTTTCATTATGCCTGTAATTTTTAAAAGCCTCTTTTTTATCATAACTTGGAAGTTAATGCAGCTGGAAATGTGAATATTGCTTTTTTATTCCTAAAGATTAATACATAAATTGTACACTACCTATATAATAGTTGAACGAAACATATGCGACCTATTATAATTTACCTGCTTTAGCAGGGGGGTTGAGGATCCTTCCAACCCTTAAAATTCTGCGACTCCATGATTTTTACCCATATATTTCTTGTAGAGATCTTAAAACAGCAAGGCTGTAGCTGTGATAACCTTGTTCTTTGAATCTCACTCAAATTCACCTCAAAACACAGCTCCAGGAATACACAAAAAAAAATCAAACAAACCCAAAAACCATTCTGGCTGAGGTAACCATGCTGAAGGTTACCAAAAAGCTGAAAAAAGTACCAGCCAGCAAGAAGACAAATGTTTGCTTTTCATATGCCATGAGACTTAAGTGTGTTCTCCATCTAGGTAGTCCGGACATTTCATTATTCAGTGCATCACTCTGCTGTGCTTCAGAAAAGAACCGTCAACACCATCACAGAGGATACTTCAACATATTTGTCCACTCACATCTTGACAAATAACTGAAATAATCACAGCTTGCAAAATTGGCCACAGTTAGGACTCTTGCATATCTTAACAACTGAAAAACTGCAAGACTATTAAGCAACATAATAGTAGCAGCAATATTTCAGAGGCACATCTCAGTTAGAAAGGAACCAGTAGCAAAACATTCTCTTCTGGTTGCAGGCTGCAGGTCTTGAGTCTATGCTGTGTATTTCCAGTGGTTATTGGACACTCATATATGTCATGATGTCTAGTGCTTGGACTTCAGAAATACGCATGCTATTTTGCAGACCTAAGCAACAGCCCTTCCAGAAGAGGTTTGTGTGGAAGACAAGGTGCACAGGAGTTCAACAAAGTACTGAACCCTATTACCAAGCTTGCCACCAGAAACAAGAATTTCTCAATTATGCTCTCATATTGCAGTGGAGTAGTCTGTTTGCTTATTACAATGTATTACACTGCTCAAACTAAAGGAATAGCATAGAAAACTGGCATTGTCATTTTGCTTGTTTTAAGTGAGAATGAAATACTCCAAAAAGGAGTGAGAATGATCATATGGGATCTGAGTGCCTGTAAATAGCCAGCTCTGCCTCTGAAACAAGAAGAACAGGTTGAGGAGGTAGCTTCATAGTTGTGTTTCCCAGATCATTTTCTTAACCCTGAGAAATTATGGCTCTTCCTGATACCCTGTATCACATTGCCTCTTTCTCAGATTTACTTAAATGAGATTAGAAGATTTCTCTTGGAAAATGCATTTGTTTGCTTGAAAATTTTTGAGTAGAGAGTCTAACCTGCTGGCACAATAACTCTTCGTTCATTGGTAGTCATATTTGGAGGCGGAATGTGCTTCTCTTCCATGTAGCTTCCATAGTTCATCCCAACATTGTCTGAACCACTAACCATTTTCCCTCCTTTTGCCACGCTGCAGTCATCAGGTGAATTCCTAGACAAAGAAGAGAGAGGCATACTTTGATTATTATTCCAGTCCCTACTAATATCCTCTGCAAGGCTGAGTGAGATGGGAAAAAAAAAAAAAAAAAGAGACTGGAACATCAGGAATTTGTTGTCATTGAAAAACTCGGAGCCTGCTACCCAATGACTCTGCTGATTCCTTTAGCTGCTTCAGAAAAAATGACCAGTCTCCACAGACAGCATATTTATTTTTATTTTAAGATTTGCCACCTTGTCTCCAAACCTATAGATGCAAATGATTTATTTCCAGAGACAGGACTAGAACAAAGGCTTGTTCGTGAGGTTGCTGAGCATCACGACTGCAAATAGCTGTGCTTCTCTCTCCAAGCATCTCACAGACAACTCAGCAAAACATAGAGATGCACTTAATGCATCAGACAAAAAAGAATATAAATAAATAGCTGTCGTTAGCCTTGGACAGGTTTCCAACTCCACTACTGTCACTGTTTCATGTGAGCCACACTTTGTTGCACTATGTGTAAAGCAATGTAGACATATTTCTGCACACGGCCCACAGAAAAAGAAACATTTACCAACGCCTTGATTCAAAATACCACACACATGACTGGAAAAACCTTTCAGCTCCTGACTAGTACAGTCTCTATGGTACGATAGTTAAGAAAGGGAAATCTGCAGAGGATCTGCAACCAGACACCTCTTTAATTTTGGCTTTGCTTTCTGAATAGAGTCTCTAGCTTTAATATCCCACAGAGGGTTCCCTAATGGCATTTTAATTGCATCACAGTTTTCTTTCTGGCAGACAGAGACATATTTGTCCCTTAATTTAATGTCTACAATGTGTTCCATCAGAGAGAGAAAAATTGTTACAAAAATCAAAAGAACGAACAGAGCCACAGGGAATACCTTTAAATGCAAAGAGGTTGTTTGGCAATGGAAGAATGGTGTTACTTGGGCTTGAGTTTCTTTATTGATAGTATATTACTAACAGCCTTTCATTTACTTCTGCCATTTAACTGCTGAAATTGCACTGTGGTTGTGCTACACCGGCAGTAAGTTAGATTGCTATGCTTCATTTCAATTCCTTGCAAACTAACTAATATGCAGTCCAGAGAACCGAGAGACCCTCCAAGAACCCAGACTCCTGGACGGGTGCTTCAGGAACTTCCATCATTACCGGCTCCAAACGCACTTCAACAAGAGACTCTTGCTCTCCTTGGCTTGGAAGCCCCATCTCTTGCTGAAAGCATTGGGCAGCAGTGTCACTGAAAGCCAATCAATGCTCAGACAACAGGCACATTCCCAGAAGAGTTAATCTAATGTTTGAGAATGAAAGAGGAAAAGAAAGGTACAGTTCAGCCCACTGTCTGCTCAACACGCAGCAAAAGGATGTGGCAGGTAATTTATCCATTGCTTAAGTGACTCAGTTGTATTGACTGCTCAGAACTGCCATCAGTCAGGAACTAATGCAGCTGTAATTGTTCCACATGTCTGTTTCAAAAATAACTAACATTTTGGAAGCTGAAAAGATTTAGTATGCATCTTAAACAATGCAAATACATTTCAAGCATATATTTTTTTCCAAGCAGTGTTATTACTCATTTTACCATATTTTGTTAAGGTATATATATATATAAAAGAAAACAACAGCCAACTGACCACCACCAACAACATAAAACAACAAAAAAAAGTGCCAATGGTGTTCTGTTAAAAAATATATATATCACAGAAATCATTCCAGAGGTACTGTCATCTTCTCTCAGAGAAGGAACAGGGCCCTGAATGTTGCCTGGGAAATGTTGCCTGCACATACCTTTTTCAGATATAAAATATTTTGGGTGCTGCTTAACATACTACATATGAAATCTGCCTTTTGTAAAGATCCTACAATTACTCAGTCAGCTACAGAACTGAATAATAACCACAAGGGAAAATACAGTCAGCACATGGCCTTGCCTGTCACTGAGTGATTGTGGATTTAGGCTTCTACCATAGAATGAGAATACTTCAGCATTATTCTCTCAGGTTTAATTTTTCTATCCCGCTATATACCTATAAATATAATTCTGGGATGCCACTTATTTCTGTCAAAACAGAGCTAAGCAAAACAAAACAATTTCTTTTTCAGACATAAACATGTTGAAAGTGAGCTTTTAAGATGATGGCTTGTGACTAAAATGTTGGCTTTTTCTGTTTACCGTTAGCAAACAGAAATGGCATCTATGCATGAATTAGTCTGCAGGCTAAATCGTATATTTGGAATCATGGGCCAACTCCTCACCTTTATACCTATGCAGTATCTATCCTGACTCCCAGTGTCAGTTATGTTACAAAGAGAAAAGACGGAGAAGTTCAGCCCGTTCAGTGACTCTTTTTTTGGAAGCAGAGAGCTAACATCATCCTTTGGTCTTACTAGCACAATTTCTTTTTTTTATTGTTTTCTTTTTTCCATGAAAAGGAACATGGGATAAAGACATATCAAAATCCTGCTGCTGATGTAAAATATGGTATCAGTACTAGCCTACACCACTTCCAAGGGTAATTGTGCATTAACAACACTCTTGTAAACACAGAGCAGTAAGTGATGTGAAATATCCAGTAGCAGCAGACAGCTTTTGGCAGCCTGACAGGGCTGCTGAGCTGGTTCTCCAATATGAATATAAACAGACAGAGGGTGGGGTAGAAGATCATAAATGGATTATAATTTTTCATTAAAACCCAGAAGGAAACAATCAAGAGTTTTGCCCTGTTGGTGTACTGGGTGGACCAAAAGATCCCCAATTCAGCAAACCTCCTGTGCTTAACTTGAAGCATGTAAGAAGCTCTGTAGGAGCTAACACAACTACTTGGGTAATTCAAATTGAGCGTGTGCTTATGTGTACCACTTAGCCAGGGCTCAATTCTGGTGGCTGGAGCTGGCATAGAAAGCAAAACTGAAAATACAAGTAGACATTAGAGAATTGTGTTTTAGTGCCCACAAGAACAAAAGAATGATTGTCTTCAATGGCTTTTTTTTTTTTTTTTTTTTTTTTTTTTAAGGACATTCTGTGAGCTTGCTGTATTTCTGAGCCACCAAGGGAGCAGGGGCAGTGGAAAAGCAGCTTTTCATGACCTGTGCCCAGTGCAAACAGTGCAGCTCTGCAGTGATTCATCCCTGGCTCCAGGTCTGAAATGAAACCTGAGATGTTTTTCTTCACAGCTGCACGTTATTTTTACCCTTTGCAAATATACTATGTTATACCTGGAATTTACCCAAACAATAAGAAAAGAAACTGTAAAGGCTGCAGTCATGCTACCCAAAAGCACTTTATCCAGTCCAGAGCTGAGTCAGCTCTGATTGCTGATAAATGTTTGTCAAAACAAAAGTATTTCTCCACAGGTCCCAGATCTGGAAGCTTTGCCTTCATTCAGGGTTACTTAGAATCAAGGTGTTCAAATTTAGCACCCTGTCCCACTCAAGATGATTGGCATTTTGCCAACCGCTGACTGATGAAAGCATTCTCAAGTTCATAAATAAGTGTATGAAGCACACTTTTTCCTCTTTCCTTTGCTACTATTTTCCCAATGTGACATAAAACACCTGTGTTGTTTTAAAATGCAAGGTGTAAGGAAAAAAAAAAAGACGAGGAACCAGCAAAATTTACATGATCTGTTACATTCCTATAATATAAATCCCTGTTTCTAACATTCCCGAACTTCGGAGATGAGAAAAATTGTGTATTCTAAATATCTACACGTTGTCTAAGTTAATTCAATAACCACAGCTTGGATAACTTCTTTGTAGAGTTACTTACAGAAAGGTGATCTCAGAACAATAGAGTTGCATAGAAACATCTTCAAAGAGATTTCCATGTGTGGTCCTCTGATCAGCCTTGGACTGGTCAGGTAAGAGGAAATACTGAGCTACCATAAATTTTTCTTCTGCAGACAAACACTGACACTGTCCTATAGAAACAGACCTTTCTGTTTTTCTCTCCTCACCCATTTTTTAATGCCAGCATTCTGAGAAAGAAAGGAATGTCCCCAGCAGAGCTATAGTGTCGCCATTCCATACATACAAAGAAAAGAGGGAGCTGAACAAAGCCAGATTTAAAGGAATGGAATGGAATGAAGGCCAACATATATAAATTCAGCCAAAAGTTAGCCAAAGTTCAGCCATAGTTAGCCAAAATGATACCACGTAAGGGTCAGCTCACACAGAGCGTATTGCAAAGCATTCTCAGGCTCATGTCCACTCAGTGCAACTGCTCTAGCTGTAGTGAAATTGGCCAGTGCTTTCCCTCCAAAATGAGTCATCACTGGGAAAATGGTCCATGGAGAAATACCCAAATCCCTGGGACTTGTTACTTTGAGGTACATTGTTGTTTCATAAAGCTCACCTCATACACTTCAGTCCAGAATATCAACTCAAAGAGTGACACACCTGCAGCCCTATACTCTCCCTCCTGCACCTGTATGCTTCCACTTCCATTTTTAAGAATCAGTGGGATTCCCATCTGCTAAGACCAGCCACACATAAAGAGGGGTCCTGTCAGTATCCCATTAGTAACAATCTCTAGTGACAGCACAAAAGAGAGGACTAGGGCATAGCACACATGAAAATGCCAAAAAAAAACACAAAACAACAAAAACACAAGTAGGTCAAAGCATCCCTGGGGTGCACACACAAGGCCTCACTCAACTGCTCGGTGAACTGTGCTAGCGAGCTGCTTCCTAGTGCACACACACTAATAAGCAAATAAATGGGAGGGTAGAAAGGTGGGTGGATGAGTAACTTAGCGCCTGGCTATGGCTTAAATCACTCCCCCTCCCTGTTGGGGTGGCCACGTGAAAGGCAGTGCTCATCCACAGGAAGGGGATGGTCAGGGTGGAAGGGAGGGAAGCCCCCCAGGATCAGTGCTGCCCACTAAAGCTGGCTAAAGCTGATGCTGAAGCCATGGTGACCGTCTGTTTATCTTTGCTAGAAGGTGAGTCAAATACAGTCCCACAAAAACAAAAGAAATAAAGGAAAAC